ATTTAACATGGTGACCAAAAAATTATCTAGTGTAAAATACAACAAGGAAGACAAAGTAGTAATAATAATCCCTAAATTCTTACACAACAAACATGTTTCTTGCATAACAACATTAGAATAATGTATATGATTGTAAAGAATATATTACAGTCATTGATACTTTTAAAAATTGTTAAAATTTGTGCATGAAATTTGATCCCAAAGTTGTAGTGTTTAACTTCACACTAATGTTATGTACATATCAAGTATAACTAATGCATTATCTGACAGTTTTATTTTAAGGTTAATTTTTAACTTTAAAATGTGCAGTTCAATACAAATTTGAGTTAATATAAAATTCTAAAAATAATTTTTAATTGGTCAATTAATAACAGATGTAGATGTAAAAATTTTAAACACTACAATATGCATATATATAGATACTCGAAAATTTCACTTTAAGCTTTTAAGTTGAGGAACATTGTATTTAATTAGCATCAAATTTCAAACTAATTAAAATTCACATATTTATTTTCTCAACAACAAAAGGTAAAACAAACAGATTGTTCAATTATCTTTTAATAGTATTACAGAATAGTAATTTCTACAACAATATATTATCTATAATCCCCATGAACTGGCAGAGAAAACTTGACAAAGATAAAAAAAATACCTAGTGTAAGGAGTAATGAGAAGTATAATTTATTTGCTTCTTCTAAAAGTTTTTGTTGTTAATTTTAGAGACTTCTATTTTTAAGGCTAGGTGAAGATTAGAAATTCTTTTTTCCTCCAATGTAAAGTGTGAATACATTCTCAAACATTGCAAATTAATTTTTTTTTTAAATCAAGAATTTATTTTATATGTGAAATATCAGAAGGCAAAATTTCCCATATAATAATGCACATTCAAAACAAAATGATAAAACAACAATCTCCAACAAATTAACTATTAAGTAAACCAATATGTCTAGAAATTACAATAAATTTAAAAATATAACTTACATACATCTTCTGCAACATTCAAAAAGATTATTATACAAATCTACAAAGGTAAATTTACCCTACGGCAAGTAAAGTAAATATACAGTTTCAACTATACCACTGAGTTAAATGGAAAATATCACAATCTTTTACATCCCATACATTTCAATTCCCCGACTCTTATGCCTTGTGCAACAACAAAGCATAGTTAACAAATTATTTAATGAATCTGGTGGATTCAATATGTCTTCTACTTTTAACTGATGCCCATTTATGTTTTCAAGCTTTGGCACACCTACTGAAAGCACTGGAAACAAGCAAGGCAAGTGTGGTGACTGTCGCTGAATCATATTCATGGGCAAGGGTCGCTGTGGTATTCTAAGCTGTAGCAGATTAGGAGTGTTTAGTCTTTTGATATAGAATCCACGACAAAGTGAAACATCTAAAAGTATGAGAGATGCTGACTCAACATAAAACAGCTCAAAGTTGTTGTTGTTGTAACTTGGAATCCAAACCTTAAAATAAAAATATAAGTATTTTAAACTGTACAAGCCACAAAAATTATCTTTATAAAATGCACAAAGGTTTGTATCGCATAAACATTGAAAAAAATCTTACTACATTCTATTGATTATTAAAAGTAATAACTGATAACTTAAGTTTGTACTTCATTTGAGTAAACCTATGAATTAATCACTATTTAAAAAAATGATTTACCTCTAAGAGTAACTTTTTTAATTGAACCAAACTTTCTGTCAACTTGTTTATGTGGTCTTGTGTAAAAGTGTGGTTGTGAACTCCATATTTAACCAGGACTAAATTTTCCAGCTTGGTAAGAGAACAAACATTTTTCACATTATAATCAGTCCAATCAAAAGGCATAACCAAAGTAGTCAGCTGTGTGGCAAGCCCAATAAAAGTATCAAAAAGTCTAGAAAACATTCGCTGACGTCTGCGGTATCTGTACATATAATCCTGGATAGGTTCTTGGTTATTTGTTAAAGGTGCCCTCGATGGACTGTCTTTCCAATTTATATCAGCATAAGTAAGAGATGTTAGGTCTGCAGTGGATAGAAACTGTTCAACAACTGCATTAAACTGATCTGTTGGATGACTAATATCCAGACAAAATTGAAATTCTTTTACCACAGGGTGAATATGAGAAAGAAAATGACTAAAGGATACAACTCTTTTTCTAAAACAATGGTGACAAACACCTTCAGTGTGAACTAAACCAGTTCTATCATGTGGTAAACAAGTATAGGGTAGTTCATTAAAATGTATCGTATTCCACAGTTGTGGCTTCTGAATCTTCATGTGCCATTCAATACAAACAAGCATACAACGACCAAGATCACACTGTTTAAGAAAGCTCCAAATTCTAAATTTGCACAAATCTGGAAGAAGGTGAAAAGGAAAATGATTATGTGATTCACTAGTGTCCATATTCATCTCTAAATCTTCCATTTCCTTATCCTCCAAAGAGCAATTCATAATTGGAGCTTTTCTGTCACCCTGATGCCAAATTGATCTACTTTGTTGACCACTCTGACTGAAGTTCAGGCCTGTTCCATTTTTGCCAGATTTTTTTCTACCCTTACGGATTATGTGGGCACTGGCTGGCTTTCCAGCACACATGTTTGTTGCTCACTGAAAATAGAAAGATATAAGTTAAAAAACAACTCTACTTAATTATAAGTTACAAGATCTGTTTCATAAAGGAAAGTGTAAATATATAATATCTTTTATTCAAAATAACAAGGCAAACAATTTCAATAAATTAAGATATATAGTTAGTGACTATGTTAGTGCAGTTCAATCAATACTGTTAAAAATGGAATCAATTTTGCCTTAGAAAAAGCTCTAGACTTCTACTCAAACATGGGATAAAACGTAACAGCACCTGCATACATGAGGCCTATATTAATATTATATTAGCCTTTTATACCATTGTCTGGCATTGCCATTAACGTCATCATTCCTCTAGTTAAGTATTTTGTAATATTTTAAAAGGAATGTTAGGCTACTGGTAATAAAATAAATATAAAAAAAAAACCTTTATAATATAAATAAATAAAACAAACTTGCTTTCTTTAATAAAAGCATTAGTCAGTAAAATATGTAAGAGACTTAATGAGCGTCAAATGACAGCATAGGTGAATGAAAAGATGCCGAACTGAAAACTGCCCAAGAGCATTTTATTTTTCTCAAATCGAGCACTTAAAGACATCAACATCTAGACTTACACTGGGGGGGGGGGGGGAGAAGAAGAGAGAAAGGGGAAGGTGAGGATAATCATCCTTCATTCACAATAGTTGTTTAAAGCAAAATATAATTTCAGTCTAACCCTCCTCCTGCGCCCTCCCTCACTCTCCAGGTATGCGCAAGAGTGTGTACCCGCAGCAGTGTGTAGCTCAGTCCTCAATCGCTTTTGGTATCTCATACAGTTGTCTGAGCCACGTTTGTCCTCGAAGCTTTGTTTTGATCTTGCCCCTTCGTATTGCCCTTTGTTTCCTACCATGGCCACCGCTTCACATATATTTCGTGTTAAATTAGCCTTTGCCATGACAATCAATAAAGCACAACAATGAACAATTCTACTTTCCAGAGTTCCCTTTTTTTCATTCACTCACAGTTGTTTGCTCAAACCCACCCTATTTGGACAAATGTATCTATTAGGAAGTCTTCAGCCACTAAAATAGTTATAGTTATGCTACGCTGCAGGTCAACTAGTACTAATCATATTAATATTATTATTAATATAAATATAAGCTTTAAACTATGATCATTAATCTCACTCATCATTTTTAGACATTTTAATAATTATTTTATTAGGCCTATTTATAATAAAACCAACTTAGGCCTGAGTTATTTCATTTATATTTTATATTAATAAATTATTTATTAAAATCTAGACTATTTTAGTTTTGAGTTTAGAATGAAGTGCAGAATGCAAATATACATGTTATAAGAAGATTAGAATCAAGATTAGAAAATAAATATTCTAATCTAGAAAAATCTAGATCTAGAAATCTAGTCAAGTAAAATAGGACTGATTGCTAGTGTTTGGTGAAGTGATAAGCGACAGGGTCTATAATTTCTAATAATCTGGATTTAGATCTATGTATTGAACTTTGCAATGTTCAAGTTACATGCACATAAAGTATGCTTAAAAGCAAAAGATGTATTTAGATCTAGATTTAGGCCCGACATTACATTTCTAGATCTAGAAATCTACTTACATTCTGTTGGAGCTACATTTTTTTGCAGTTTTTCGGAACGGGAAAATCTTTACGAGATCAAGGCTTGTTATTAGTTTTAAAATATCGATACCATTAAAATATCGTGATTATAGGTTAACAAAACAAAAAGGGCAATAAAAAATTAAAATATCTTTGTAAGCTGTTTTTTTTAAAATGCTATTTCTACTAAAATATAAATAAAGATGCTTCATTAGCGAGTCCGAGTGCCCACAAAACTAAAGGGAACTATAAGGTGAACTAGAGCTCCATTTGTATGCAATAGGGGTTGTTACACCCTAAATCAGCTGCTCGTTATACCAAAATATTTATAACATATATTTGAAATATCTAAATTTTAGATCAATTAATAAAAGATGTGCATTATTTTTCTTTATAAAATAATTTTTAAAAATATAATTGATCATATGTAAGCCTAACTCGGTAAATAAAATGGTATCGATATTGACATAGCCGACCCTATTCGTTCGATCCGGAAATGCTGTCATCCTTGCTTTATAATGCTTCAGGCCTACTTTTTTTATTTTTTTTTAAACACATCCGAAAACGCTAGAACTGTTAACTGGTGCGGAATGGTGGGTGGGTAATTAAATAAAGAATGGGGAAAGTATTAATTTAAAGTTAGGTGTATTCAGTGTTTCTTCCAGACTTTTTCTCCGGGGGGGGGGGGGGGGGGGCGGACACTGAAGTATATGTTTTCTATATACAATCCTTTACGTTTGGGGCGGGGGCGGTAGACGGAGCGCCCCCCCCCCCTCCCCCCGAAGAGATGTCTGGAAGAAACTCTGGGTGTATTCATGGTTACCAAGATTTTTGTAACGAAATAGACTTTTTCAGTTAGGGTTCGAGTACCAACTGTATAGCCAATAGCGTAACCCAGGTGCGGCGGGGGTCACCTCCATTTTCCAATCGGATAATGGAGGGAACGAGAGGGTTGACACCATAAGTAATGTGGATTTTCGCCGGATCGGTGTGTAAAGAAATCTCTTAACTAATTTTTTTTTAAAAGTGTACGATATAATTTTTAATGATTCCCTTAAACAGTGCTTAGAAATGGCACACCCGGTAGCCTAGTAATAAGGGGTTATGTTTCTTCACTGGACTGAGAACTAACCAAAAGACTTTTATTTGGTTGCCATTTCTATCTTTTGCATCCATAGATTAAACACCGCGCAGGGATACCTTCGGACCAGAGCAGAGTGGGGAAAGTTAAGGTGGCTGTTTTGTCGAAATTTTAAGAACCATTGAAGAGAGCTTAAAGATCTATCAAATATTTCTATTTATAAACTTGTAATAATTAAATCTTTAAACAAATTAGCATACTTAGCCTATCACATATTTTACCAGTTTTAAATAAATGTCAGTAAACTTGTTTTGAGTATCTTTGTTAATTTGTTGTGGCTAATCTGGCAGTTAAGAGATTAATTTATAGCCTTTAAACAATTAGGCTAAATTTCAGATGAATTTCATAGAGATTCATCTATTAAAAAAATTCCAAACGACATCTCTGCCCAAACTTCTTTTCAAAATTAAGAAAGGTCATGCATAGAGCGGATTACCACTCAGTTGAGTATCCATAAATCAATGATTAAGCGAATGCATCTACTGGATAAGCGGTCATTTAAGTATGGCGGAAATCTGCCTGTTCTAATCATAATATTCAAAAGCCTACCGGTCAGCATCTTCAAGGATAATGTTTGATAGTTTTGATTGCCTAACTTAGTATCCCATTTCTAATGTGCAGGGACTTGATTTGTGTTTTCATACCTTCTGCGGGAGTGCTTGTAACATTGTTGCTGTCTCAGATGGATCTGCCCTATGACCTATGAGCATTGGGTGTGATTCCATCTGGCCCAGGCGACATCCCATTTGTAAGGTTCTTGATATGTTCACGTGTATTAATAAAAAATTAAAATATCTTTGTAAGCTGTTTGTTTTTAAATGCTATATCTACTAAATTATAAATAAAGATGCTTCATTAGAGAGTACGAGAGCCCACAAAACTAAAGGGGACTATAAGGTGAACTAGAGCTCCATTTGTATGCAATAGGGGTTGTTACACCCTAAATTTATGAGAAAATCAACCGTGGTGTCACAACGATCCCAATTAGGGTTAGAGTTTATAGGCCTATATAGTTTAAATGAGCAAACGTCAATATTTATGTAAAAAAGGACCGCTGACCCTCACATCATTAGGAGTATTGTATTTTAATGTGGATCTCACCCCATAGTCATCGTGTAATTACAATATGCTGGATTTTATTTACATAACGTCGCGATGTTCCAACAACCCCCCCCCCCCCCAAAAAAAAAAGAAAAAGCAGAACAACTAGCATAAATTTTCACGAAAATCATGGCTTGCTCTTTTTTTTTCTATTTTTTTAAATAAGATGTGCAAAATCCTTTCGACTTACCTAGCATTACGTCTTTTATTAAATTAAATTTGAGATCCCTCTGTCTTAAACAGTATACGAATATTCCTCCACACAGGAGCATTCTAATTTATAGGCAACATATGAATTAGGATATAATAGTTTTAAAAAAAGAATATAGCGATAATTTCTCATTGAGTAATTCAAAGATAATTCTGGCTTCAGATCTGGAATTGAACAAGTTAAAATCTTTTAGTTCAGAATATTTCCACAATCTCATTTCTTTTTACCTGGCAATCGTGTTTTTAGCAGGACCGATAACTCTAACGTTTAATAGTTGTTGTTTTTTTATATTAGGTCAAGAACTAGATTTAAAGGAATTAACTACAATTCTTATTCAATAATTCGTTGAGACTTTGAAAAAATATTAATTGACATGAAAACAAATAATGGAGAAAGATTTTTGTCTGGAAAGTAGTTCTAGAACTTTACCTTTACTGTAGGTTACTAATTAATTTTACTAATTATAGTTTTACACAAGAAGAAGTAGCTGTTGTTGCGCCCCAAGCTTTTTTAACTTTTTAAAGTTTTTAGCGCAATTTCCATTCTGGAGAATTGCGTTTATTAACCCGTCATTTCTGGATGTATGAATGAATGGATGGATGGATGTGTGTCCGCAGCTTTAAGTCGTATCTCCTCCTCAACGAAGCAATATCGATGACTAGTTCCAAAAGCAATTATGACTTATGTTAAGCAAGTTACGAGGATGAACATAGGCCATAAAAATTCCGGGTTTCTTTCATAGATTTCCCGGAAAAGCCAAAAAACCTCGAAAAAAAGCAGTTTTTGGCCCATATCTCGGCAACCAGACCACTTAGCGACTTGAAACATGTACCAATCGATTCCTGCCATAATTTAGAACAATATTGCCGAAGAAAGTTTTCAAAAATATCCTTTCGTTCGGTCACAAAAATTTTTTTTAATTAATTAAAATTTGGACCGAATTAGTTGGCATATTTATCCAACCACACCACACACATCATCACGTTCAATAGCTGCGCCATCACGTTCAATGGCTGCGTCATCACGTTCAGTAGGCGCGCAATGGTTTTTAGTCATGTAACTCTATTGTAAATAAAACATGTAAAGTACTGAAAAAAAAATTAATAAAATACGTTTTAATAACTAATCAATGGTTTTACTAACCCTGCTCTTGATTTAGGCTGCTACGACAGAGCTATTTTTAGATAACATAAGGAAATTGCGCTTAAATGTCACTAGACTTTTTAATTAACTTGTTTGTAATCTCGCCCAAACACTTCTTGAACAATTTTTGCATAACAATATGATAACAAACAACCGTCTTGTGTTTCAAGCCACACCAGCATTATTTGTAAAATATGCAACCTGAACTGCTTACAGTAACAGTGTGTGCTATATAGTTCGCTATCAGCTGCAAAAGCAGTGTTTGATTACAAGACAACAACATATTATTTTTACATATCATTTGCCAAATAACAGCTCAAAAGATTTGATGGACAAATGGTATCAAGAGGTTGCACTACTGCAAAGTTCTAAATCTAATGCCATTGATTTTCTGGTAATTTTTATTTTATTTTTTCAAAATATTTAGGCTTACGCCCTATTTATTAATATTATTATTATTTATGTCAGTATTTACTATTTTTCATACCAGTGAGTGACTGATAATGAATGCCACAATTTTACCTGTTTAGTAACTTAAGTACATTAAATATATTAGGCCCTATTTTATTAGATTATCTGGAATAAAAATTTTTATTCATTATCATTGCTTGTATACATAATAATATACATAATATTACATAACAATATATATATCATTATTCTTATGATAGAATGTACTAAATAAAGTAATGTAAGACATTGCTATCTCTGATAGAAAATTTAGCATGTGTTTGCTTCGAAATAAAAACAGCAAGTTTTTCACAATGTTAACAGTTGGCTTAAAAATGCTGGAAAAATTTACCAGACTTGACGTTTCTGTTGTTAGCACCTTGCCATCTTTACTCTTTATAATACATATTTTTTCAATGAACAACGAAAAACAGTTCTTTAAAATTATTTTTTAAATGTGGATACCTAATGCAATAGTTAGTGTGTATTTTTATAAAAATATACAAATTATATAAAATATGAAATAAACAGCTATGATTAATTGCTAGAAAATTTATCAAAACTCACATTTTTTTACTTTAGTACTTTTTTAGTACTTTACCCAACATAAATTTAATTATCTTTAAAATGATTGTTTTTCTCTCTTATAATTTCAGATTCCATGTTTAAGTAAAGGTGACATGTTTACACAGTTTCTATCCAAAAAGACAATGTTATCTGGGATTAAGATGGGATATTTACAGGTTTTATATTTTCTTCTTGCAATATTTTATTTTGAATACTCTGATATCTATAAATTATACTATAATTATAACTTAAAATATAAATATGTCTTAAAAATGTTTCAATAAATTTTACATAGTTTTAAATTTTACTGATTTAAATATTTTTTGTAAGTTATTAACATGCTACATCATCTTCTATACTTGTCTCTGGGGTTAAAATTGATTTTAAAAACATTTCTTGGTTTAAATACTGAGTACTCCAAAAGTTTTGCATAAAGAGAAAGGTTTGGCACATAATGTAATACTCTTGTAACTCTCTTTAGGTTGATGATGTTTTGGAGCTGTTTATACAAACTGAGGATTTGAAGTCCAGTCCCATACTGATTGAGTTATTGGAAGATTTAATGTCACCTCAGTTATTTCAAGACAGAAAGATCAATACACAAACTTTTGAATGGATTAAAGAAAATAACTTTTTGCAAGAATTCTTTCTGATTAGAATAAATATAGATACAACATTTTTAAACTCTAGTGGAATTATAGAGTATTTAACTTTAATACAAAGATGTATCAAACATTGTCTAAAAAACAATGAACTAGACTTTCAAGATTTAGAAAGTTTATGTGTATTAGTTGAAAATTTATTTGTTAAAAATTTTATTACATTCTTTAAATTACCCTCAAGCTGCAAAGGACATTTAATATGTAAAAAATATTTACAAGTTTTGAGTAGCCTTCTTAATGCAAGATTTTTGTTCGATGATCTTAGTATTCCGACATGCATCATCAACTTTAGTCATACTGTCTCCAAGATTATTCTCAGTGATTTGTGTCAAGTTCAAAACAGTCAAATTTTTTTTTTGAACAGTAATTTTGTCTCTTCCAATGTGCTAAATTCCAACAGCAAATATGCCACCTCAGTACTTGTAAGGTCAACAGTTTTTGTTATTTTAAAAACATGTGCTCTTATGGAGATTTGTAATGATGAAGTTCTTATAAAAATATTGACTGTTTTATTTAACCTATGGTCTCAAACTCAAGGAATAATTGCTACACAGAGGCAGCCGCATACTAGAGAATGGTTATCTACAATATTTGCTGACCAAGATGATAAATGGGTTACTTCCCTTTTGTGTCTGCTGAAGCTTCACAAAAAGATAAACAGGTGACTATTGTTGCAAAAATAATTAAGAATTTTTTCAAAATACTTTATATATATATATATATATATATATATATATATATATATATATATATATATATATATATATATATATATAAATTTTATCATTTTGTTACAAAATGTGTGCTACTTTTAAAAAAATTTGCACTTGCAATATTCCAACTATGTATTGAAAAAAAACAAAAATTGTTTCAAATTCGAATATTTATATTTGTATTTTTTTTACAGGGAACAAAATCCTGGCATGAATTGTGAAAGTAAGAAAGACAGTGGTAAATTGAATGAACTTGTGGACTTTATCAATCCTCATCGACTGTTTCTCCAGTTCATATTTTTTATCAAGTATGATCATCTAGTGCTAGTTGATTTCATGTCGTCACCAGAGACAACTTTTTTACTTTATTTCACTCTCTATTTGCACGTACTTATTACTGAATGGAGTCATTTTGAAAAAGTGTGCATGGAAAATGATACATTCACAAAAAATTCAGACAGCTTTAGATGTTCTCATGATCAAAGTTTAAATAAATCTTTCACAACCTGTATGTTTCATGCAGAATCTAACAGTCTCTTACATTCTGGGCCACATAGTAAAAACATGCCTGATGCTTCAGGCTGTGAAATTAAAAACAAGGCAGCTGGAAGTGTATTTCTTGACTCAAAAAACCAAACTACAATAGGTAGTGTCATTGCACCAAACTTAGTTCCATATAGTGACTCTGACAACAGTGATGAAGAAGATGATCCACATCAAAATAATCCTTCTGTTGCAAACTCTAGTTTGTATTCACTTGATGAAACTGCATATCTATCACCTTGCGGAAAGGAAAATGTCTGTTCAACAACAATGCAAAATAACACGACTGTTTTAGTTATGGAAATGCTGATTAGACTTAGAATTAATCTTGAGAAACTTGATGAAAAAAGTCTGTTCCCTTATAATGTTAAACCTCTCATTAAATTGTTAGAGAAATGTGAAGATGTATATGATAGAAGTGTATGTGTGGATATGACATAATTTTACTGAAAATAAATATTACAAATAAACTATGAAAGTGTACAATATTTTTTATACTGTATTGCCTAATAAATTTCAGTAAAAAATTGTCTACAGTTCACTTTTTAAACAAATAATTAAAATCTACTTCTAAGCCTACTTAAACAAATTTTGAAAATCTAGTTATGTCCAGTGCTATCAAATTAAGCAAGCCAGCCAGAATGGTAAAGTAGGCACTGGACACTAAATATGTAAATGAGAAGATCAATCTAATGTTAAATTTTAAGTTCCCTAATCCCTCACCCTTGTCACACATGATAAAAAAAAGTGATAACTGTTATTGACCATTCCAAATAAATGTTTAAAGTTTAATGGACAACTCACACTTTCACACCAACTTTGGGCAACAAACTAAAAAAAAAGTCCAGGCTGGTTAAAATATCATTATAATTAATTTAAACATATTTTATTAAAGATAGTTATAACCGAATGGTCCATGGTGGTGCAAGTGAAATAGAGCTCACCTGTTTCTGTGACATCAGAATATGAAAGTATAGCCTCCTTTACTTACCTTAACATAAGTTAGGTACCCTTCAGAGCTTGGTGGACTCGAGATATTCTATGAAAATGAAGCCGGATTCAAACTTTTGGGTTAGGCGTTGTATTCTCTATCATTTGATCACACCTTCCCATAAAATTATATGTATAACTTAAAATATTCAATAATCTTTAACCGCATGTATGTTTTGACAACAGTAATCAGTACAAAGACAATAATGTGCATCTTTCATTGTGAAAGTTTTCTTAAATACTAATACAATAGTCTGTTTAATATGATTGCATAAGCAAAAAGCCCAAATTATAAATTATTTTATATAATCCTTCTGTCCTATAATCTGGAGATGTAAGTGACATACATAGGATTAAAAACAGTTATAAACATGTAAAATAAACAAACATATAAAATGTTTATAACAGGTAATGGTCCACCAGCCCAAGTTCTACAGGTAATGTGGAAATAAAAGACATTGCTGGCTACCTAATTTTCCCCATCTGATATAAGTATAAAACATTCTTAAATTGAATGTCTCTTGTTGTCCTCTATACCAATATACCAAACTATTTGTAACTTATTACCCAAATAAATAACCCATTTATTAATATATACATTTTAAAAAAATTTTGTTCTTCAGAAATACACATAAAGCTTTTCCCGATTAAATATTTTCATTTATATATTTTTACCAAAAAAAAACACAACAAAACAAGAAATGGTAAAATATATTAGACTCTGAATATGTTTTTTATAAAAACATTAAAAGCTATATTTCATAAAATTAATAACCGGTTGCTTAAAATAATTGTAACAATTTGATATAACATTTATGTTTTATCAACAAAAAACAATTTTTCTCTATTTTTGAACATTTCATCAACCTCTTCAGTCTTTAAAGTTTACTATTTGAAAAGTTCATCCATTGACTGATTGGTATTTGAGATGAATGACTAGCCAGTTTCTTTAGTAAGTTACTTGGCACCCAGTGGATGGAATAAGCTGGAAAAAATTAATCATACAAATTGTATTAAAACCTTCCTATGCCACAACTTTTTATTGTATTTATAAACACTAATTTAAAATGTAAACTGCTAAAATGATACCTAATGAATAATTTTGTGTACTTACGAAAGGTTTTATGATAGTAGCAAATGCGTTCATAGACTTTAGTTAGTCCAACTTGGCTAGCATAAAACATTGGCCCACCTCTGTATTTAGGAAATGCAAACCCAGCTTGCCTGTAATATTTAGTGTTATTATTTAACTAGAATTATTTGTACAATTACTAACTACCTAATAAAAAATATTTTTCTTAAAATGATTTTTTAAATTACTTTCTTGAACTTACCATATGATATCAATGTCTTCAGGTTTTTCAGCTATACCTTCCTCAAGTATTTTAAAACCTTCATTTATAGTGGCATAGAAACAGCGCTCCAGGATTTCCTAGCAAAATTAGATTTTAAATTATTTTTTCTTTATTATTTTTAAACTGAAATTTGAATGATTGAAACAAAAACTACAAAAACAAAAGGTGGTATTTGAAAAAAATTGAAATAAAAGTGCCGTAGAATGCAGCTTACATTAAAAGTGATAATAATTTAATTTTCAAATATTTATTATTGAAAATCAGAATGATGGAAAGTAAGCATTAATTGGCATCTAAGAATATTTTACCAAATAAGAAATCTGTCGCCTTGTTATTCCCAAATTTTTACAATGAGTGAGTACTATATCAGTCACTTCAGGGTCTGGTATTGCCTTGTGTGGATTGGTACTTTCATATTTATACCAGCCTTTTCCTTCAGGGGAGAGAGTTTAGAATAAAATGACATTATTAAAAAAATACATAAGGATTTTATTGTTTTCAAAATGTGAGAAGTAATTTCAATGTATTTCAATCATAACTGAGTTATTTGTTATTCTTGCCAAATACAGAATAAATTTGTAACCTTTTTTTTTTCATTTAAAAAAGTAGCAGTGTTTATTAAATTGGGGAAATATTTCTTAGAGTTAACATTTTCAAAATTGAATAAACTGTATTGGATTACACATTTTATTGCAATAATTAAAACATACAACCAAATGCAGTTTAACAAAAAAATAAAACTTTTCAATGGCTGTAATAAATATTAAAACCTAGCATAACATATAATTAAACTATAGATTGTTATTTATACATACCAGTTTTTATTCCAAACCTGCCTAATTCACAAATTCTGTCTGCAATTGTACAGTACCGCTCTCCATTTATGTATCGTGTATCAAGGTTAAATGTGATGCCTTTTAGTTTAGCTTTTTCTTTTTGAACAAGCCACCGAATGTCAGTTCCTGAGCAGAAAATGTAGATGTTTCATTAGATAAGTCTTGTAAGGAACTGTATGTCAATCTATAATAAAACCATTCAATTTATTATTATTTCTATACAAGTATTATAAGAGATTTTACCAGCAAGATCAGAAACTTTAAAAACTCCCATTGGCATTCCAAACTCCTCATACACACGATCAATATCTTGGATCGTGGCACCTTCTTCTAACAAAAATTGGGCCTGCACAAAGTTTTAAATGCGGACTTAATATCACATTTCTAAAATAACTCTTAAGGAATTAATTTAGATGACGATAAAGTAAAAATGCAATTTAACTCAGCTTGTTTAAAGAATATATTAAGTACCTACTTTTGCAAAATAAACATCAGATTCATTTGAGATTATACAGACTAAAATATTGAATTTTAATAAACAGAAATTCTATAACATACATAAAAAACAAAAATATAATCCTCAGAATAATCTACTGACAACAGTTTACAATAAAGGTCTTTTAAAAGTTGGAAATAACTAATAAAAATCAACTTACTTCATCAAAGTTTTTATTCATTCTATTAGCAACAAACCCATGGCAACTTCTCACCAAAACTGATACCTATAAAAAAAAAATTTAAACTCAGTGAACACTCAGCTAACAGATTAGAGGTTGTAAACAACAGCAATACATCAGAGAAAATAGCTGCTTAAAATATTTAATTACATGCAACTCAAATACCAGACCTTCCCAATTCTTTTCCCTAAATCCATGATGGTGGCAACTGTTGTTGGTGAAGTTTCAAGGCCATAAACATTTTCTAAGAGCCTCATGATGTGGGCAGGTGAAAAGAAATGTGTTCCTGCAACTTTATCTGGCCTTTTTGTGACAGACGCAAGCTGAAATGCATTGACAAATTTTATTGCCTAGTAGAACATAAAATGTGATCCTTTATTCTGAGGATTATATTCTTGTTTTTATGCATGTTATAGAAGCACCACTAATGATACAAGTCAATTTTAAGTGACATTTTTTCTTAAAGAATCTGCCAAAAGCTGACACAATCCTGTGTTGTCATTGTTACGTCCCTTACTGTAGCATCACCTGATTGTCTGTGTGTTGTGTGCTTGAACGAAATGTACCCTCTTATTGTATATAGTTGTAGCCCTTAGTTGAGTGTGTTTACATTGAACAAGAGGTGTTCACTTGAGGAGTGTCAGTTGACGGGTGTCAGAGCATGTGCTAGGGTGTGTGGCAGTTGGTAGACTAGTTATCTAGTCTGTTGTATACGTTGTTTTGTCCGCTGAATACCCCTACACTGAAAGATCTCAACAGTCTTCGTCTCTTAAGCAGCATTGTTTAGTAGCCAAAAGATAAAAAACAATTTAATTAATTAGATTCTGATTACCTTTTCAATCTCTAATGTTGAAGTGTTTGAACAAAGAAGTGTAGAAGGCTTGCAAATTTTATCCAACTGAGCAAATATTTCTTGCTTCAGTTTCAGATTTTCATAGACAGCTTCAATTACCTTTAATGCAGCATAAAAGTATTGATAAATAATGGAAATAAACCAGGATACATTAATGATTAAAATAAAAATAACAGTGAGACTTAGAGCATCTCGCCAACCCCCTACACTAAATAACAAAAAAGGGAAACAACCCACTAACAAAAAATGTCCCTGGTAACTTGAGTTACTTACAATGTCAACCTCACTGACTTTGTCAAGACTATTAGCCCCTCTCAATATCCGAAGACACTCAATCCTTTTATCAGTAGTCATCCGATTTCGCTTAACACTGTCTTGAAGAATCAAGCCAATATTTCTCAAAGCAACTTCAAGCATCTGAGTGGGAAAGCGACAAGGTTAGTAGATGCCAATCTTCAGCCAGATTATAAACAATAATAATTGTTTTATTAAAATAAAATATTAAAAACCCCAAGATATTTCAGATAAATGTAGGAGAAATAATGAATGAAAATAAGGAATAAGCAAGCAGTAAAAATATCAAATTTTCTATTCTAAAAAGTACAGTTTGGTCTAGTGAACTGTATAGAAGTGCCTACCTTTGCATTTTGCTCAATTAAAACCACAGGAATGCCAGATCTAATTAAACAGATTGCAATTCCTGACCCCATGGTTCCAGCTCCAATAACAGCTGCAGTCTGGATAAGCAGTGGCTTTGTGTTGAGTGCACTTGCACCACTTGGAAGCTTCCACTAGTTTTTTTTAAATAATAAAAATATAATATTTTGCACAAGATTTTTAATATTCTAAGCTACAAATCCTATTATTTACAAAAAAAAATGTAAATAATCTAAATTAATATTCTTTAGGGAAAGTTGTAATTTTCTAAGCTAATGTTCTAAAAATGCAATGAGAAATTAACTAATTCCTTTACTTTAGAAACTGCTCTTTCAGCAAAGAATGAATATCTCAAAGCTTCAGACTGACCACTGGTCATTAGTTCTCTAAACAAAATGTGCTCATTCTCTGCAGCTTCTTCAAACGGAAGTTTAACCGCTCCTCTAATAGATTTGAGACAATACTGAAATAAGTATTATTTTAATTAATAAAGATTTGAAACAATGAGATCTTAATGGCACATTAACCTCATCAGCCAAAATGAGTTGTTAAAAAATAATCAATGAATTAAATAAATAATTTAAATAATTCCATATTTTGTCTAGATATTGATTAAAGAAACAAAAGCGACAATCTTACAGTTGGAGCAATCATTCCTTTATATTTCTTTTTTACAGCTGTTAATGCATCTAAACAGATAATAATATTGAAATAATTTAAATGTTAACAGTATTTTAGTAATACTAACACTATGAAAAATCCAATCATAATAATACTATAAAATAAACAGGCTATAAAAAATCTTGCTGTTTGAAATAATCAGATAAATGTATGTACACTGCTGTGCAAAACATATTAAATTATTAGTTTTACGGTAACAAAAAAACATTTTCAAAATACACATTACCATTAAGGGAAATAATTCAACAACCTAAAATAAATTATCACTCACTTTCAAATAGCTGGTCTGCATTTTCAGCCCCCTTCAGTGGAATTTGACTTAGTCTTTTAGTGTCCAGTGGTTTTCCTATTACATTAGCAGCAAAGGATTTCGCTTCAGCAAGAAGGTCACCAGTTACAATCTTAAAGTATTTTAAACATATAAGAATACATTGTGATCAATTTGAACACATGTGTGTGATGAAAAGCATTCTTGTGTATTTCCTTTTCAAATCAAACAATTATTATTAAGCAAACATAAAAATATCAATAGATACAGTGCACTTTATTTTGAACGATATAAATCTATGTAGCAAAAGAAAGACTGATCTTATATTTATCAAATATCTTGTTATATCTAAAAAAAAAGCCTTATTAATGTATACCAAGTTTGAGATGTATAAACTGTTTTAAACCAGAAATTTCTATAAAAGGCCTTAAATGCTACATTACCTTATCTATGATTCCATATTTTAGAGCATCTTGTGCACTAATATGTCGTCCAGAAGTAATTAGATCTATAGCAACAGTTAAACCTGTCACTCGAGGGAGGCGAATTGTCCCTTGTCTCCCTGGCAATAGACCCAACAGTACTTCTGGAAATCCAAACCTGAAAAGTTTTATTAAAAGTGGGTCTACTGTTAGAGAAAAATTTCAAACATGATTCACAAATAGTACAAAATCTAAGATTTGTGATTTGCAAAAATTATATTAATCTTTGATAGGCTAGTGATTTAGTACATACTTTGCCTTAGAGTCAGCAATTCTATAATGTGAAAACAATGCTATTTCAAGGCCTCCACCAAGAGCTTGACCATGAACAGCACAAATAACAGGTTTTAAGCTTGCCTCAAGAACACGGCCTACATCAGTAATGTCAGGACCTAAACATAGAATAAATGTATTATATAAAAGATAATTTTAATCTTCATGTGAGGGTGTTATCAAGTTCTTTGTTTTTTAATAAGAGTCAACATAGCCAGGAGTTTTCTAGAATATGTAACATGTAGTTAACTATCAAACTCCTGCTATGAAAGAAGAACCCACTAAGCAATATCTGCTTTTTCAAACTAGGCTTTGCAAATATAATAAAATTTGTTATATAAACTTAAAATAAAATGCTTGAAGTCGAGGAAGTGTATTATTATTAGCAACTTATAATTTCATAAAACTAAAATAAAATGACCTAAAAATGAAATAAATGTTCTATTAATGTATTTTATATGAGATTACCCTTATATTGCTTAGAGAACTCCTTGATGTCAGCTCCAGAAAGAAAGGTCTTTCCATTCCCAACAATTATGACTGCTTTTATTTTATCATCAGCAATTGCTTTTTTGATTCCTCTAAGTAAGCCATCTCTCACAGGGTAACTGTTTTAAAAAAATTGACCAAATAAAGAACAATTAACAGCAGTTTAATAAATCTACGTTTTGGTTTTTAAATGGCAAATCTAGTCTAAACTTTGACTTACTAATTAATTTGTCATGGTTCACTGAGGCACTAATTAATATATTAATGATAATGTCTAGATAGACTAGATGACTATGGAATAGAGATCTACTATGATCTAGCTAGCTTAATCAAAAATTATTTTGGCCCTAAACCTAATAAATTATATGCCTTATATTTAAGGCAGATTATAGCCGGAAAAAGATGTGCATGCGCATAGCTCTACAATTACCTGTTTTTTTTTTACATCTACATGTTCACTGTTTAGGCCTATGTTTTGTCTTAATGGATCCGGGATAAATACTTAAATAGACTAGAACTTTTTGCTTGCTATATTATATACTATAAACCCTCAACACCTGACGACCCGCCCGAAGCGCAAATGCTTGACCATATGGTACAGCTAGTTTTGTCAGAAGAATAAAGCTAAAAGTGTAATAGTTCCCATTGCACAGCTACAAAAGAATAAATTGAGCCCATTGTGCAGATATTTAGGTCCTTGCATTTTGCATCTTTTGCCGGCTAGATAGCGCTTCGGGGGAAAAAGCTTTTTCCGAGCAGTCACTTTGTATATTTTGATGCTAATAATAAAACAGTAGTAGTAGGATTCATAGACCTCCTATAATAAAAATTATATGTCAAGAGTGAGTAGTAGTGTGTATTGTAGACTTGAAACTAGATTAGAGTTTACAGTGTAGTTTAGTTAGATCTAGAGACTCAGTGGAGTAGACTGTAGAGTTGAGACATGTAAGTCTTAGACTTTTACGTTTAGTTTTTAGAGTGTCTTACTCTTAGTTTAGACTAGACTTGTAACATTTTTTTATCTTAGACTCTTTTATTTTAATTTTAGTTAGAGTAGTTGTAGTAGTAGACTGTAGTAGTGACCAAAATAGTAGTTTAGTTAAGTTACGTTACTACACTGATGTAACAATAGATAGATAGTATTTGATAGATTAGTAAGTTACAATAACAATAATTTTTTTTAGCTGCTAGTGTGCAACCGGCAGTGACCCCAGTGTTAAGTGAAAGTCAGTGTTAGTAACAACAGACAGTGTTAACTGTTGTTAACTAGATCTAGAATCTAGATTCTAACTGTATAGTGTTTCAGTGTTAGTGTGTTAGTCACTAGTGAGTGACTAGTGTCTAGTACTAGATTTTTTCTAGATCTAGATCTAGTCAGTGTTACTCACTGTGTTACGTTAGTCAGTGATTTAGATCTAGATCTAGTAGACTAGTAGTACTGACTAGACTAGTAGTTAGTAGTGTAGTAGTAAAGAAAAGTAGTCTATTCTACTAATTTTAGGTACTTAACTACCTTAAAGCATTCACTGGAGGATTGTTTATTTCTAGCAAGGTAAACTGTCCATCAGTTTTGTATTCTACCATGGCTTTGTGTTACTTTTTAATACTTTTAACTAATTTAACTGTTGTGGCTTCTTAGGTAGGATACGTTCAAAGTACACTGTTTACAGCGTATGCCCTATGACCTGAACTTTGACCTATGAAAATTAACATAGCAACTTTACATTTCCGTTAAGACTGGTTGATTCTGTAGAAAATATAAATTGAGTTGTTTCCCTTCGAAATAATAAATATGGACTACCTAGCACTAGGTTGATTTAGTTGAAAACATGGCTATTCACAATTTAAATGTAAAATTACAGCTGGTATTTAAGTAAATATTAAAAATAATTAGAGTTGTTTTGAGTAAGGTCAACAAGAAGCACGTCTATCCCCCCCCCCCGGAACGAAATAGAATTTATATAGAAAAAATATACTATTAACACATGCTAACAAGCTATATCACAAGAGAAGCACTAGATTGGAGTCTCAAAGGAACGAATATAGTAAGTAGGCCATAAAGATCACTAGTCAGTGAAGCATACGCAGCCGGATTGTCATGGACCCAACTTGGAGGAATCACCTAAAACCGAGTACGATAGAACAGTGTGGTTGATTCTAGTGTCCCCCCCCCCCACCCCAAGAGATACCTGGAAGATACACTGCTGGTTGATTCCCTATACTCAACAGGTGGTCTGCAGATGACGATGACGATTTACGTATTTCATCATTTAACATAGATGTGAGCATTTACAACGTTTGGAAGTTTTTTCTCTTTTCTCTCCTTCCTCGCTCGCTGTAATTAACATAAGTCAACATTGAAACTTCTGAGACAAACCCACACAGTAAAATTTGAAATATTTTTGTCAATCAAATCATCTTCTAAATATGTTGCATCGAAAGACTATATCTAGTCATCTATTTATGTCCAATTAAATGCTAGATTTTATAACAAGGGGATGTCGTGGTGTATTTGTTATGCTGTCTCTACGGAAGAGCCCAATTTGTGTAAACCAAGTTAACCAATCAAAATGACAGACTGGCTTCAACACACTGTATATATTGTGATTTGTATTTGTACTATGTGTGAATTCATATACATGTTTACTCCGCTGTTTAGAGTACCCAAAGTTTTGTAGATGTAGAGGTAAGGGAAACACCGATCGGAGTTCAGCTGGTTCTGTCCTACCCTCAACCTCTCTGCTGGTCATCAGAGTTTCTTCCAGGCATCTCTTCGGGGGGGGGGGGGGGGGGGGCTCTGCCCCCCCCCCCCCCCCGAACGAAATTAAATTTATATAGAAAATATATACTTTTAATAGTGTCCGCCCCCCCCCCCCCCGAAAAAGTCTACCGCCCCTCCCCCCGAAAATTTCAAGTGCCCCCCCCCCCCCGGAGAAAAAAGTCTGGAAGGAACACTGCTGGTCATTCTTCATTTGGTGTTCACTGGAGTTCTTGGTTTACCTGATACTTGTCAGACACATTATAAAACAGTAAGTCCACTGAATACAGAAACCCCGCCTTTCTTTACAGATTTGTAGACGATATACAAAATAGACATTAAAATTAGATACATTTTGTTTTTATTTAAATTTTTAATAAATACAGTAATCAACAGGAAAACAGCACAAGTTACATTATGTTTAATGAAGTGAACGTGTTCAAATGTATTATCAATCACAAAGTTACATGTTACACAAACTAATTTAATTAATTAAAATAGTTAAAATAAAAGCAAAACAACGGACCACACTATTGACACATTTAAAAAAAAAAAAAAAAAAAAAAAAAAACAACGAGAGTTAAATGTAAACATAATGTCAGGTTTCCATAATTAGTTTACCTATAGCCGCAAGTCAAACATAGTTTGATCTAAAAATTGTTTTCTGTTATTAGGTATAGACCAAGAGATCAATTGATGATTGGCTTTAAAATATTGTTGTTAGATAGTCTATAGGTACTAGTGTGAGATATAGGCGGCCTATAAAACAATTGCTGTTAGATAGTCTGTACAGGTACTAGTGTGAGATATAGGCGGCCTATAAAACAATTGTTGTTAGTCTATAGGTACTACTGTGAGATATTTCGCAATCAAACAAGAGGAACAACCAGTTTTACTTTCTTAATAAAGAAGTAAAATAAGGGAGGTGACTTCTGCATGGTTGTCTTTGTTCAATTATACATCCAACCCGAGACTAATTTAAATATTGCGTTCTTTCAGGCCATTTTCTCGTGTCAGTACAACCGACTTTTGTAAAACAGTTTCAAGTCAAGGAGTTGCACAATGTGTTTAGATTATAAACAACGTTATGTCCCCTGAGATGTGCTTGCTAGTAGCTGGCTTGGTACCCGCCCTGTCTGGCACCCGCCCTGTCTGGCACTAGCAGAAGGCTGGGATGGACAGCACATGCAACAGGCAGGGTCGTAAGTGGGGGAGGGGAGCACTTAGAACAAATGACCCAGGTAGCATAGCGAAATTAATTATCACTTGTCTCCCGTGGTTTCTATATACAGGATGTGAAATTGTTAGGCCTGTACTGCTTGTTTTCTTGCTACGTGTATCGTATGGTCCTTTACAGCAGTACATGTGTACAGGAACTGTCAGCGTGTTTTTTTATTGACCTCACCAATTTACATTGACATAGTTTTTTTTATACCTCATCTTTTTACATTGACCTGGTTTGGTTGACCTCATTAATTTACATTGACCTGGTTTGGTTGACCTCATTAATTTAAATTGACCTGGTTTGGTTGACCTCACCAATTTACATTGACCTGATTTTTGTTGACCTCGCTAGTTTACATTGACCTGGTTTGTTTGACCTCATTAATTTACATTGACCTGGTTTGTTTGACCTCATTAATTTACATTGACCTGGTTTGTTTGACCTCATTAATTTACATTGACCTGGTTTGTTTGACCTCATTAATTTACATTGACCTGGTTTGGTTGACCTCACTAGTTTACATTGACCTAGGTTTGGTTGACCTGACTAGTTTACATTGATCTGGTTGGATGTACACAACCCGCTCTGTTTGGTTGCTATTTTTTAAGATGGAGATGATGACGTAAAAACTAGTCGATAATCCTACAACCCATGTCATGTCTGTGGGTATTCTGCCATCTGGTTGATCAGCTTGACAACCCGGCTACAACCCGTCTCAACAGCCCGCTGTTTCAGTGTAGTTACCGAGTGATCGCAGACTCCACGGAAACACGAGGGGCTTCTGATGCTACACTTTGGGTACTGTGGATAGAACACACGTTGTTGTTTAGGTACTCTTGATCACGTTCATATAAAAGTTCGGCCTTTAAAAAAAGGATTGAACCCACCTTTAAGAGATATTGGGATTGAACCCACCTGTTTAGAGATATTGGGATTGAACCCACCTGTTTAGAGACATTGGGATTGAACCCACCTGTTAGAGATATTGAACCCACCTGTTAGAGATATTGGGATTGAACCCACCTGTTTAGAGACATTGGGATTGAACCCACCTGTTAGAGATATTGAACCCACCTGTTTAGAGATATTGGGATTGAACCCACCTGTTTAGAGACATTGGGATTGAACCCACCTGTTTAGAGACATTGGGATTGAACCAACCTGTTTACAGATATTGGGATCGAACCCACCTGTTTAGAGATAATTGGATAGAACCCACCTGTTTAGAGATAATTGGATAGAACCCACCTGTTTAGAGATACAGGGATTGAACCCACCTGTTTAGAGATACAGAGATTGAACCCACCTGTTTAGAGACATTGGGATTGAACCCACCTGTTTAGAGACATTGGGATTGAACCCACCTGTTTAGAGATATTGCGATGGAACCCACCTGTTTAGAGATATTGGGATGGAACCCACCTGTTTAGAGATATTGAGATTGAACCCACCTGTTTAGAGATATTGGGATTGAACCCACCTGTTTAGAGACATTGGGATTGAACCCACCTGTTTAGAGACATTGGGATTGAAGCCTGCCCTGAGCAGGAAGATGGCAATGTCCTCCCTGCACAGATCGACACACTCAAACATTAGAGGACTGAAGCGGCTGATGTCCCCGTGTTCGGCCAGTCCAGAGATCAGAAGTTTGACCATCGCCAGATCGGCGGTCTACAATAGTAAATATCTCGGCTTAAACATTACTGCTCAGTTATTACATAACAATGACATTAAGGGCTGCATGAATTGACAATAGATACCTTAAGGGCTGCACGGAAAGACTTCTCAAAGTCTGTTCTGTAGGCGTATATTTCCAGGTCGGCGTCCAAGACCTCCTTTTGGAAGAGCCGGAACTCGGAGCTTCCACAGACTGACCTGCTGTAGGCGTCTGGCACACGGCCCCGCTGGTTGGGGAAATGGCAGACATATTATAAACAATGTTCGGGCATCTTTGTTTAACGTACAATACCACAACCCCCACTGAGGTGAACTCGTTTGAAGTTCCACTCAATCTAAGACTTGAGTTCTGTACTTGGGACCATGTGGTCAAATGGTATAGCGATCGACTGATAACCCAAAAGTCTCGATTTTGAATCCCCGTGCTCGAGTCCGTACGAAGTCCCTGATTGATTGGGGAATTGATTGGAGACTAAAGGACGGCCGACAAGAGTCAGTTATTGATAGGCGCCACAAAGTGTTGTCTTATATAGGCTTATATAAGGGTGTGGGGAAATTGCGAGACGCGAAAAGCGAAATGGCGAGGCGGGAAAATGCGAGAAGGGCGCGAAAACGGTCGGTCACATGACTTTTTGTCTCGCATTTTACCACAAGCCGATACTTACGCTGGGTGGTGTTGAAATGCGAAGATTTCTGCGAAAAATTTACCGCACCCGATTTTCAGTGGTATCTGGTCCAGACTTCAAAGACGTTTCGTTTACATTGTTAAAACTTCCGATTTTTCCGTCGCTAGACATACTGATGATTTGTCAACTCCCCCCATCTTTTGTGTCGACTTAGAATACCACCTTGTTCGAAACCGACGGAAATACCGCCGACGATAGATCAACTTCTGTCTTTTGTGTGGAACGCCGAGGCCGCCTGATTTACCGTCTTTGAAGATCGCCGTGCCCGGATCCGCTGCCGCCGCAAACATATTTTCTATTGTTGCATAGAAATTTTGTATTATAGCCGCCGCCTACGATTTTTTTCTAGCTTTTTTACCATATAAATCTAAGCACAAGGAAATGCCTACATCATTTGGATACAACAAAATAAAGTGACGTCACCGATATTATCAGTTGCTCGTGCTATATCGTAAGCTATGGGCCTACTTCAAATATTTTTAAAACCAAGTTGAACTTATCTGAATTTTTTGGTTTTGGTGGTGGTGTTATTTGGGGTCTTCCATAAATTACGTCACATTCGTAAGGGGGGGGGGGGGGGGTCACACTATAAAAACGCAATGCTAGAAAAATAATTTTAGACGTTTTTTCGCGTTTTAGAAAACTGTTTTAATACATTGTAATAGGAATTGATTAACATACTCTATTTTGACCGAAATTAGACAAGATTTTGGGAAAATATCGACGTTTTAAAAAAAACTCAACTGCTGGTGACAACAATGAGCAAGACATTGCCAAAATTACAGAAATGATAAAAAATACAAATTATAAAAAACGGAAAACAGATGTTGAGCGTGCGGATGATGATGATGAGAACATGGGTGCCAGTGTTGTTTGTGTGATGAACGAGAAGGTCAACTGTGATGAGAATGTGAAATGTTGTGAATGTGGATTGGAAGAAGTAGCAAAAGAAAAATGTATAAATGGGAGTCTAATGAACTGGGTTGGGTGTACTATGTGTGAAAGATGGTGTCACGAGGTGTGTTTGAGGACTGTTTCAGAAGATTTTGTTTGTAAATTTTGTTTGTAATTAAAATTACTTAATAAAAAAATAAATTGCACTTTTTAGAATTGTTTATACTTTTACACTTTTTGCAAGTACAAAAATCCATAAATAGATGTTGCAAAATATCTCTCCTGCTGACAAGATTATACCAATTCACAATGACACAGCTCACGTTTGTATAAACATGAGCGGGCTAGATTTTTAAATTAATGCCGACTGAGACGGGATTTTCCTCTCGCTAACGAGAGCGGGCGATGACAGTAGCACAGCAACGATGTTAGGATTTTTAAATAGATAGATCTAGATATAGATCTATCTATCTTCTTAGTATCTAGATAAAAAATAACAACATACAACACTCGTGTTAAAGGGTATGGCTAAATGCTTGTTTATTTCAAAAAACAAAAAAAATAATTTAAATAAATAAAGATGAAAAAAAAAGGAAAAAACTTTTTTCGCAAAAAGTGTCTCGCTATTTGCCCTTAATTCCGCAGGTATGTCTCGCATTACCTTCTCGCATTTTCCCGCCTCGCCATTTCGCTTTTCGCGTCTCGCAATTTCCCCACACCCCTTATATAACACAATATAAATATGACTTAAAATTTTATAGTCACGTGATTTGCTCTCAACATACCGCATCAACCTGGTCTGGGTCGGCTCCGCAGTTCTCTAAAAACTGAAGCACATCCGGGTCATCCATGAAAAGGTAAGCGTAGTGAAGTACAGTTTTACCTAGCTGGATAGAGAAACGGTGAGCACAGTTTTATTTAGCTAGATAGAGAAAAGGTAAGCGTAGTGAAGTACAGTTTTACCTAGCTGTATATAGAGAAAAGGTGAGCACAGTTTTATTTAGCTAGATAGAGAAAAGGTAAGCGTAGTGAAGTACAGTTTTACCTAGCTGGATAGAGAAAAGGTAAGCGTAGTGAAGTACAGTTTTACCTAGCTGGATAGAGAAAAGGTAAGCGTAGTGAAGTACAGTTTTACCTAGCTGGATAGAGAAAAGGTGAGCACAGTTTTATTTAGCTAGATAGAGAAAAGGTAAGCGTAGTGAAGTACAGTTTTACCTAGCTGGATAGAGAAAAGGTAAGCATAGTGAAGTACAGTTTTACCTAGCTGGATAGAGAAAAGGTAAGCGTAGTGAAGTACAGTTTTACCTAGCTGGATAGAGAAAAGGTGAGCGTAGTGAAGTACAGTTTTACCTAGCTGGATAGAGAAAAGGTAAACACAGTTTTACCTAGCTGGATAGAGAAAATGTAAGCGTAGTGAAGCACAGTTTTACCTAGCTAGATAGAGAAAAGGTAAACACAGTTTTACCTAGCTGGATAGAGAAAATGTAAGCGTAGTGAAGCACAGTTTTACCTAGCTAGATAGAGAAAAGGTAAACACAGTTTTACCTAGCTAGATAGAGAAAAGGTAAGCGTAATGAAGTAGGCCTACAGTTTTTACTTGTAACACATTGGGTTTGATTTCCTTGAACAAGAATTACGTGCCTTACATATTACGTGCCATATGGCAAAAGTTCCCCTTTCAAACCTGACGGTCTATAGGGCAAGTGAAGTAGAGTTCACTTGTTTCTGTGACCTCGGCATATGAAGAGATAGTGTGGTCAGCACTATGCCCAGCCGCCTTTACGTGAGTTAGGTACCCATCAGATTTGGGTGGGCTCAGGACGGTCTACTGACTTGAACCCGGATTCAAACTCGAGACTTACAGCAGTCCAGCTCTCTACCGCTAGACGACTCCGTCCCATGCCATATGGCGAGTTGAGTCTTAATTTTCTTTTAAAACTATTTTAAGGAATCTAAAATTAATAAAACAGCGAAAACAAGAACTGACCGAATCTTGCATGTTGATAGTGAAGGCACAATCAGCAGCTAACTTTAAAACCAATCGATTCCTTCCCAGTAAAACCGCCTTCATGAGCGGGGTGCGGCCACAAAGGTCACGGCCACCTGCATATTTTTTGCAAGCCAGAAGCTTCTGGAGGTCATCGAGGTTGCCGTCGTCCACAGCTTTAAAGACCCGCTTCACGTACAGCTGGGGACACAAGTAGTGCAAGTTAAGCAAGAATCGTACGGAGTGGTCCAACGGTAGAGCGCTCCACTGATAACCGATAATCTCAAGTTCGGATTCCGTGCTCGAGTTCGTACGATGTCACTGAGTCCACCCAGCACTGATGGGTACCTGACTTACGTCAGGGAAAATAAAGGCGGCTGAGAATAGTGCTGACTACACTATCCCTTCATATGCCGAGATCACTGAAACATGGGAACTCTCCTACACTTGCCCGATGGATCGTAAGGTTCGAAATGGTACTTGACATACTTAAGCAAGCATAATTAGAAAGTAGATGTACTAAATATTGAAGCATCCAAGATTTTTAGATTTTCTAAATATTGCAAGTCTTAAAGTGCTCAAAACATTAAGATTTTCTAATGTAGTTATATGTTATGATGTTTTGATTAAACTTTAGTTTCCTAATAAGCAACCACGACATCTGAAGTTTATTTTTTATCCACAATATTATTTTATGACATTAAGTTCTAATCAAATCTACACTATTCATGTGATTGAGTTAAGATCTAAATGACGGAAGAGAACTTTAACTTCCCACATAAGTACACATAAAGTCTTAAAGAGTGCTAGACTTAATTGAAACCAAACCAACCTAAGTTGTCAAGAAACGCCTCTAATGCCGGTGAACCATCCTAATATCCTAATATATAAATCCCCACGTTCGCACATCTCTCTCTCTCTCTCTCTCTCTGTCTGTCCGCAAAAAATTTTCGCCGGACATCACGTCAGAATCGGCAGCGATATATGGAGAACTTTTTACGGACTTTTGTTGAAAATAATATGTTAGATGTTTTAAATGTATAACCACAATTTTATTTAAAGAAGAAAAATAAAACATAAAGGCGTATTCGAATGTAGAGAAACAGTATTATTTATGCAACCGGAAAAGCATTAATACATGTGAAAAAGAACGCATAAAACTGTGACGTCACTATTGCTTATACATTAACTAATGACGTCATCTGCTGTGTTTTGAATAAAAAGAAATGAACTATTTCATTCAAATTTGATTTAGATCTACGTACACTATGAAATGTATACAATACAATTTTTTCCGGCCTTAACTCATAAAATTTATTTTATTTATTTGGATTCTAGATCTAGAGATTCTAGATCTAGACTAGATCTAAATCTACAAATCTACGCAATAACTAGATCTAGATCGAGACGTAGACGCTAAGATCTAGATTTAGACTCTAACTTCTCTAAAATCTATTCCAAAAATAAATTTCTATATTAGGACTAAACTATTTCAAGACATAATTATTTTATACAAAGTCTTTGTTTGGAACTGGCTAATTTGGGATAAAAAAATTAATTTGAAAGAATAGGCATATTCGCGTAAGTTAAGATTTTAAAATACGTCTTTTATTCTCCGTGTTTTCTAAGGTGCCTATATAGCGGAGATGATAGTGTACTTAAACTCACGCAGGTGGTGTGGGTTCGAGACGCACCAAGTCAACTTAGTTAATCTATTTTTTTTTTCTTATTTTGCTCGGGCTAAACTTAAAAAAAAATTCTATTAGGATTCTAGATCTAGATGATCTAGATCAGGGGTCTCCAAACTTTTCAGTCAGAGGGCCGCATTAACTATCAAATTTCAGTTCGGGGGCCAATTTCTTCCAGGCATATCTTTGATTTTTCTAGACAAAGTTCCTCAGCCATCACCAACAAACGATTTTTCCTTGGACAAAAAGATCTCCGCGGGCCGGATGAGAGGACTTCGCGGGCCGCATCCGGCCCGCGGGCCGTAGTTTGGAGACCCCTGATCTAGATCTACGGAGAAACTAGACTTACACAGATGTAGACCCTACCTAGATCTAGAATCTATTCAAACAATACATTTCTATACTAAAGTATTTCAGGCCTTAATTACTTTATTGAAATCTTTGTTTATCTATGCAATTTGCTAATCTCTATAATATATAAAGCAAAGTTGTCGGGTGTCCGATAGGGCACTTCCCGGCGCCGCAGGCGCTTCAAATTTGGCAGGATCTTGCCTTGGGGCGACAGAACACGAGGGCCGGTTGGCCGAAAAGTCTACGATGAGGGGGTCAAAACTGACCTCGACTGACCGGCGCCTTATATGAGCTATAAATCGAAAAAAAATGTCCACGGAGGAACCTCTTCATATCTCTTGAGGTCGTAGACCGACCCTCGGGCGAATTAATTAAGCATTCAAATTCTCAATGTTTTCGAAAGCCTAAGCGAAGCTGGGCAGCATGCCTAGTTTAAAATAAACCGGGAGTGATCTCCCCTAAACTTTCTCGAATATTCTTAAATAAAATAACAGGGGATGGGAACTCGGGCTATAGACATGATTTTTAATCCATTTTAAATACTTAAAGTTTTAAAAATAGAATAAAATCTCGTAGACAAATTAATTGCACACCAAGTGAACGCCAAATAAAAAAGCGCATAATAGTGCGCAATATTGTACTTTAAAAATTTACATTAGTTTTTTGAGAAATCGGAAGTAGCGTAAATTACTACTTCCAGTCAACGGAAATTACTCAAAATTTAACAGAAGGTAGAGAATTAGATCTTTTACTCACATGTGAAATTTAATTTATCTATCTGAAATAGTACTCAAGTTATAGGCTTTTGAAAAATTCAAAGTAGAAAAAGTACCACTTCCGGTTATTGGAAATCGCTCAAAAGTTGATACGGATCTACTATTTTGATAAAATACTTATATATGAAATTTCATCAACCTAGCTGTAACGGTACTCAAGTTATCGTGTTTACACACGGACAGACAGACAGACAGACAGACAGACACACAGACATACGGACAAGATTGCAAAATTATGTTTTTCCGTATCAGTGAGGTGTAAAACGTCGAGATTTGTAAAAATCTCGATTTTTTTTTTGCACGATTACAAGACTTTCTCTATACTTCGTATATACGAGAAAGTAAAAAACACTCAAAATTTTTAGTCAAACTATATAAAGAAGGCTTATTTCTGTATGTGTCTACAAGATCCGAACCTACCTGTATCTCCTCGCCAAGACGGACAATCTCATGCACTTGTGGACTCGAATATTTTCTGGCAATGTCAGCAGCCGATTTGCCTGCTTTGTCTTTGACGTCACAGACATGGTCATAACCCTCCAGCAGAAGTCTTTCAATCTGAGGGAAATCTTTGGATTTGATGGCTTGAATCACGCGACTGTCCATCTCTGTGACGTATTTCCCTCGCTGCAGGCCCTCGGCAAAGTCTCGCGCAGTGCGCCCCAGATAGTCTCGAGCCCCAAGGTTAACGCCCTTGGCCAGCAGGAGTTTGATGGTGCTCAGAGGTTCCTCGGTGTAGACGGCTTGAAATAGAAGGGTTTGCCCGATGTGGTTTCTCAGGCTGACGTCAGAGGACTCCAGCACACGGTGGATGGTGCGAAGTTCTTTCGGTCTGTAGGGGCTGTTCAACAGCTGGCAAAATATTCGGTCATTGTTAGAATGTTAGGAGGGTTAGCATCACGATATTAACAAAATCTTCAGACGTCTCTTCTCAATATTGAACCATACACACTGATAGTTAGATATATATGCAGTTATTTTTATTAATATTATACATTAATAATACATTGACCTATACATCAAATCATTATATATATATATATATATATATATATATATATATATATATATATATATATATATATATATATATATATACATACATATATATACATACATATATATATATATATATATGCCTATATAAATAAAGGATCTACATGTTTATATGTGTGAGCCTATGTGTACCACTCACATAAAAAATGACAGGGTTGGGGACCAGATCCTTGTCGGGGGCATACAGCACCGTCGTGTCGGGCGCCAGATCCATGAGGGCGCTGACGGCATCAAAACTGTTTGTTTCCCACGTGGCCGCCACCAGGGGCTGCGGGGCTTCTGGGTAATCCGGGTACCTGAGCTGGTGGGACAGGTCGACAAAGTTGGGGTCAAGGTGTTTCACGTAACCTGTTGAGGGGGGAGTTACACAACTTGTTAACTTGTTGGGAAACAAGTTTAGGTGGCTTACAGAAACAACAAGGCAGGTAACCCTACTTCAATGTAGGTAAAATAAAGCGGAAATAAATGCAACGGGATTTGTCTAAGATAGTACATCAGATAAGATTTTACAAACTCCGTGTATTGTTAGAAGGTCAGACACATTCAACCCTTATTAAGTATCGCTTGACATATTGTCACAAATTCAGATTCATATATATAATAATATAGCGTATCTTAGAAGAAATCATATTACAGACATGCTAGAATTTAAAAAAAAATGCTCTAACTTGCTAACTAATCAAAAGATAGTTTTTTGACGTCTATGAAAGTAGCTAAACATATTAATTAAGCATGGCACATTTTTACGACAAGACATACGACCTTCTTCCCCCAACTTCCCAGTGTTTCTTTCAGACTTTTTTTTTGCCATGGGACACTTGAATCTTTCGGGGGGGGGGGGTCGAACTAAATTTTCCGGGGGAAGGGCCCACAGTTGAAAACGTATATATTTTGTATATAAATTCTACTTTGTCACCCAATGAAACCTCCACGAAGAGATGCCTGAAAGAAACACCACTTCTTCCCTATCCCCTATCGTACATCTACAGACGGCCCTAAAGCACTAAAGACCGCCCCTACCATTTTTCATCCTGTTCCGGATTCCTGTTCCTGTTCCAGCAAGTAACGTGAAGCACACCTCTACAGTTGTTTCGTAGCGTTCTAGTAACTAGTACAAGAAAACAACCGAGCAAAAAGTATTACTACACAAACTCTTACAACAGATACATATATATTAAACCCGTATTGTGTGATTACAAATATATTTGATATCTACATACAAGACAAAGCCAGGTTAATGATCAAAGAGTAGTGAAAATTATTTCTGGTATTTGTCGTGGGTGTGGCTGGAGAGAATGCCTAGAGCTGTATATTTATTGGGTGTTTGCTTTAAAATCTTGTGCTATCTCTTGTGCTATGTCTTGAAGACTATATCTTGTGTTATAGCTTTAAGGTACTATGTCGGGGTCCCTAAAATCTGTGTCTCCGGGCAACAGCACGACCACCCGCCTCCCATCACTTTGATATAGCGCTGATAACATACTAAGAAAACCATCGGTTTCTATGACCTCAGAATATAAAGAAATATTGCGGTCATAACTGCTTTCACTTTCCCAGAGTCGAGTCAGGTACCCATTAGTGCTGGGAGGACTTAGGGTCCGTAAATAAAATTCCAAATATGCTCCGCTTTTCAACCACGCGTCTCACTAAAAGTGTGCATAGCTTGTATAAATATCTATTGTTTTTAAGAAATAATTTTTGAATGCCTTTCATGGCTTCAATCTAAATGTCTACAATAACCTAAGTACCAGCACCCACGACACTTTTAACCAACAGCACATAGAATAAATCCCGCTCAGCTTACCCTAAAATTTTAACCAACGAGCCGACCCGCGGCATATCATACGCCGCTATTTAGTTGTTGTTTTTTCTACTTTTCAGTTATTCATAATTTGTGAATTCGACACTACCAACGCTGCCACTGAAAATATTTCTTTAAAACACTATAAGTAGCTCGTTAAGGACGATAACCCCTCCCCCCTCCTTCCCCCCCTCCTCCTCCCCCCCCCCCTCCGTTAAAGTAAACTCCACTTAGTTACCCCCCCTACGTTTAAAATCGTTTCAAACTAAATTATCTGCCCCTAATAGTCGTCACTAAACCCGGCTCTGTAAACATTTAGAGTGAACCACAGCTCACCAGACCATGTAGGGGTGGGGGGTGGAAGGGAGCGCGTTTACAGCTTGTTTTCTAGCGTCTCCCAGAAGAGAATTATATATATATATATACGAGCCGGCCCGCGGCATAACATACGCCGCTATTTAGTTGTTTCTAATTTTCAATAATTCATAATTTGTGAATTCGACAGTACCAACGCTGACACTGAAAATATTTCTTTAAACACTATAAGTAGCTCGTTAAGGACCATAACCCCCCCCCTTCCTCCCCCCCCTCCACCCCCCCTACGTTTAAAATCGTTGGCTCTGCTTGTAAACATTTAGAGTGAACACAGCTCACTAAAACCATGTAGGGGTGGGGAGGTAGGGAGAGCGTTTGCAGCTTGTTAACACGTTTTTCTTCTCAGCTTCGCGTTTGTGGATGTGTGGATTTGTTTGTTGTTAAAATTGACATCGAAAATTAGCCCACTTCTGATTGCTCTAGAGACCTGAAATTTGGCATGCATGCTACTTTCGCCTAACAATTTCAGATGCAATCATAAAAACTAGCAATTAGTGACCGTAATTAGCTTAATTTAATTACGTCCCAAGGACCATAAAATTGAGGACATGATTTCTAAAGATACCGACAAGACTTGAGACCTATTGACACAGTTACTTCGGCCCCAATCGATGTGAGCGCGCTGGCCGTGATCGTATAGTGGTTAGTACTTCGCGTTGTGGCCGCGACAACCCAGGTTCGAATCCTGGTCGCTCAAGATTTTTAGTCCGTGTATTTATAAACACTTTTTTAAAAACCACGTTTTTCATGTGTAGCAACGGACTAAAAAGGAGAAAATAAAATACTTAAAAAAAACTTTTTAAAAAACCACGTTTTTTATGTGTAGCAACGGACTAAAAAGGAGAACGGACACGGTAACACATTGTTAACGGTGACACGGTTGGTACGCTGGGCATGCTAAAATACGCATAAACACGTTTTTCCTTAACTCAGCTTCGCGTTTATTTGTTTGTTTATGGGAGATTTGATCACGTGATTCGTGAGTAGATCTCCACGCCAGCAACGTAAATTACACCCTTTCTCTGTTTAAAGCGTATCGGTCGCTCAAGATTTTTTTAGTCCGTGTATTTAAAAACACTTAGTCAAGTCATACTTAATCAAGTCATTAGATAAAGTAGAAAATAAACTATATAAAAAACTTTTTAAAAACCACGTTTTTCATGTGTAGCAACGGACTAAAAAGGAGAAAATAAAATACTTAAAAAAAACTTTTTAAAAAACCACGTTTTTCTTGTGGACTAAAAAGTAGAAAATAACTATTTACATACATTTGATGACAAAAAAACGTGGGTCGGGCAGATGGGTCGGGAAATTTGATGGTGAACGTACCCACGTTTTTTGTCATCAAATGTATGTAAATAGTTATTTTCTACTTTTTAGTCCACAAGAAAAACGTGGTTTTTTAAAAAGTTTTTTTTAAGTATTTTATTTTCTAACGGCTCGAAGAGGAGAATTATATATATAGATAGATACAACATAGAAATAATCCCGCTCAGCCTACCCTAAAAATTGAGATTTTGTTGATGTCTTTAGCGATAACATCCTTCAAGTAAACCACCTCCCCTTTTTTGACAGTTTGCAGACGACACCAAGATTTGACAAGTTTTTCTATCAAGTTTCTATCTGGCTTGTCTTGTCGTAGAGCGCACCACAGACCTGGTTCAAACACATGAGAAACAATTATTAACAAGTTCAATATATGACCCTTGTTCTTGTTATTTCTGTTGTCATGTTTTAGGGTAAAGAAAAAAATACGTCTTCAAATCTGAGAACTAAAAACAAAACATTTTCTAAAAAATAATAAAATAATTTCTTTAAAAAATCGCAAACAAAAATTCAACTGCAATTTTGAGGGGGGTTGTAGGCTGAGGTGTGATGTCATTTTAGGGGGGGGGGGGGGTCTGGCTTTTTGTGACGACGTGTGACGGACGGGAGGGGGGGAGGTAAAGATCGTCAAAAAAGCGTGACGTCATTTATGGATGACCCCTAAGACTAACCAAGTTTTATTTAAAAAAAAAAAGCGCAACTTAATCAAATTAATCCTAAGCTAAGACGGTGTCGAGACGTCTATTTTTAGCATATTATGTAGTTCATGGCCAGGCTAGTCATATCCTTTTAATCTCCCCCTTGATCACGTTACCTCCCTTGATTACTCTCTGACGGATTTACGGTGTCATTCATAATGTTATACCTAAAAATGACAAAGATGTCGTAAGGTATCGGAAGCCCAAGTTTAAATCCAGTATCACGACTCTTGGTAGACCCAGAGCTACACAAATGAAGAATGGCTGTAATAAGTTCTGCTAATACTGATATAACGCTTGCGATAAAATAATTAGGCTAAATGAGGTTTGATGCTGGATGCTGTAATCCGTCTAATATTTGCATCACTTTGTCAACCTTAAGGATTAAGAGACAGGATGCTAGTAGCTAACTGCTTGCTGTGGCGTCACAATTTTGGGTGTCACACGATGCGGTAACTGGTTGTCACCTCACCTCTAATAATGTTTTTTATCTTCATTTTGGTGTTACCCATTCGCTTACTATTTTATCAATTCAACTGGAAAATTTTTATCTGATAATCAACTTATAGGGTTTGCAGTGACCTGTAATATGGATGCGTAAAAAACCGCTTTGAATGTCAGGTCAATAAACACCTGAATAAAGTTACACGTTTACGCTCTTAGGGGTCGTCCATAAATGATGTCACACTCGTAGGGGAGAGGAGGGGTCCGTAATTTTGTGACGATGTGTAATGAGGGGGAAGGGGGGGGGGGTTCAGATGGTGCGACGTCACACTTTTGCATTATAAAAAAGCATTTAGATAAAGCAATTTAGAAAACTGTTTTGATACATTTGATTAGGAATTGATTAAAATACTCTTATTAACAGAGTTCAGACAAGATTTTGGGAAATTATCGATGTTTTAAAAAACAATTCAACTGCAATTTTGAGGGAGGTTGTAGGCTGAGGTGTGGCGTCATTTTAGGGGGGGGGGGGATCTGGCTTTTTGTGACGATGTGTGACGGAGGGGAGGGGGGTAAAAATAGTCAAAAAAAGCGTGACGTCATTTATGGATGACCCCTTATTGGTTTAGTTACCTGGGCTGACCTTGGTTTAGTTACCTGGGCTGACCTTGGTTTAGTTACCTGGACTGACCTTGGTTTAGTTACCTGGGCTGACCTTGGTTTAGTTACCTGAGCTGACCTTGGTTTAGTTACCTGGGCTGACCTTGGTTTAGTTACCTGGGCTGACCTTGGTTTAGTTACCTGGGCTGACCTTGGTTTAGTTACCTGGGCTGACCTTGGTTTAGTTACCTGGGCTGACCTTGGTTTAGTTACCTGGGCTGACCTTGGTTTAGTTACCTGGGCTGACCTTGGTTTAGTTACCTGGGCTGACCTTTGATTAGTTACTTGGGCTGACCTTGGTTTAGTTACCTGGGCTGACCTTGGTTTAGTTACCTGGGCTGACCTTGGTTTAGTTACCTGGGCTGACCTTGGTTTAGTTACCTGGGCTGACCTTGGTTTAGTTACCTGGGCTGACCTTGGTTTAGTTACCTGTGCTGACCTTTGATTAGTTACTTGGGCTGACCTTGGTTAAGTTACCTGGGCTGACCTTGGTTTAGTTACCTGTGCTGACCTTTGATTAGTTACTTGGGCTGACCTTGGTTTAGTTACCTGTGCTGACCTTTGATTAGTTACTTGGGCTGACCTTGGTTTAGTTACCTGGGCTGACCTTGGTTTAGTTACCTGGGCTGACCTTGGTTTAGTTACCTGGACTGAACTTGTTTAGTTACCTGGGCTGAACTTGGTTTAGTTACCTGGGCTGAACTTGGAGTACCAGTGTAGCATCTCCTCATGCCCTGCTGGCTTGTCCTGGACGAGGATGTCAAGGGCGGTCATCCCAGTAGAGTTCTGGATACTTGTGTCTATACCACATCTACAGCCAGTGCATATATATATATATATATATATATATATATATATATATATATATATATATATATATATAATTTTAGTGTTGGAAGGGATCCCCTCCAACACAATTAAGTATACGTGTCAACTAGTTATGCGCCATTGAGGTCATTGACTCCGATTGGCGTCAATATCCAAATAAATGCTCGCATGTAGGGTTCCCTCTCCCCTGCTCCCCCGCCCCAGAGTTAATCGTAAGACTAGTTTATTTGCTCAACGAACAGCCTGGCGTGTCCGGGGGGGGGGGGGGGGGAGGGATTGATTTCACAGAACCCCCCCCCCCCCCCCTTACCCCACATATGAAATCTCCCAATGTTGTACTATTTTAATAAAAATAAACTCGTGCTTTTAAAAAAAAAAAAATTCTTCTTCTGCTAAAACCTCAGTGAACTGTAACCAAAGCTTTAGGTTTAGTTGTTAAAACCAGTTTCAGAAAAAGTTCTTGTCAGCAATTTTCTCTCTTATTCCATGACACTAGATTTGCAGAGATAATCTTAACGCACCTCGCAAGTAATCCAACAAAATTCATTTCAAAAAACTCTTTGAAAAAGTAAGCGTAACAAAAAGTAAACCCTGCCTGCGTCGTGATGTAAGCCGAACCACTCCGTCACGTCCGCGCTACGCATAGGGAATGTCAAAGCTTTCGTCAACTTTCACGCAGACCTTGTCAATCTTCACAAACTCTTTAAAATATTCTGTCTGCGGATTAATTTTTATTGCGGATTTAGCATTTAACACATGAAATAAAATCCGCGGCGAGATGACTAAGACGGAAACTGCAAAAAATGAAAATAAAAGCAATCAAAAGATCAGGTAGAAAAGGGGCATAACCCAGCAGGTTAATGCTACAAGGAAGTGAATAACGAGTGCAGTTTCCTTATAACTAATATATTCATCACAGTTCCGTTTTCTCCGCACTTACGGCCCTTTCTTTTTTGTCCGACCGTAAAAATAACAAGACTTTCTCTATACTTCGTATATACGAGAAAGTAAAAAAGACAAGAGTTTCTTTCATGTATCTATCCGGAGATCTGGAGGGGGAGGGGGGGGGGGGAGTGGGGTGTTCCCGGAAACCTACATCCTATTCTTAAGGAAATTTCACAAAAAAATACAATTTACTCAAGAAAGAATTTACTTAAATCAGTGTCCCCTATGGACATTTAAGAGAGACCCCCCCCCCGTAAGGTTTTAAGCCTCCTACCCCCCCCCCCCACCCCAAAGAAACGGAATGAAACACCACAAGAACATGAAAGAATTTACTCCGGAAAAGACTCACAAGTTTGTGACAAGCTTCCATGCAATGCCGAGCTCATAGTAAGAAAACTATTTTTAAAAAAATTAGTCCCGTATGTTTATTAGGACGTCCAACTACTTCTGTATGTTTTTTGGACGGCCAACTAGTACTGTATGTTGTTTTTTTTACGGCCGACTAGTTTTGTATATTTATTTGGACGGCCAACTACTTCTGTATGTTTTTTGGACGGCCAACTAGTACTGTATGTTTTTTTTTTTGACGGCCGACTAGTTCTGTATGTTTATTTGGACGGCCAACTACTTCTGTATGTTTTTTGGACGGCCAACTAGTACTGTATGTTGTTTTATTTTTACGGCCGACTAGTTCTGTATGTTTATTTGGACGGCCGACTAAATCTGTATGTTTTTTGGACGGCCGACTAGTTCTGTATGTTTTTTGGACGGCCAACTAGTACTGTATGTTTATTTGGACGGCCAACTACTTCTGTATCTTTTTGGACGGCCAACTAGTACTGTATGTTTTTTGGACGGCCGACTAGTTCTGTATGTTTATTTGGACGGCCAACTACTTCTGTATGTTTTTTGGACGGCCAACTAGTACTGTATGTTGTTTTTTTGGACGGCCGACTAAATCTGTATGTTTTTTGGACGGCCGACTAGTTCTGTATGTTTTTTGGACGGCCAACTAAATCTGTATGTTTTGTGGACGGCCGACTAAATCTGTATGTTTTTTGGACGGCCGACTAGTTCTGTATGTTTTTTGGACGGCCGACTAAATCTGTATGTTTTTTGGACGGCCAACTAAATCTGTATGATTATCAGTTATGTATGTTTATTAGGACGGCCAATTAGTTTTCTATGTTTATTAGGACGGCCATCTTTGATTATATCATTCATTAGTCTTGCTCAAAACAATTAAAAAAAAATTCCAGCCAATGTCAACACAGCCCATCATGGGGGACTTCTGACGGACCAGACAAAGCCTAGCTACGCCTCTGACGGCCCAGACAAAGCCTAGCTACGCCTCTGACGGCCCAGACAAAGCCTAGCTACGCCTCTGACGGCCCAGACAAAGCCTAGCTACGCCTCTGACGGCACAGACAAAGCCTAGCTACGCCTCTGATGGCCCAGACAAAGCCTAGCTACGCCTCTGACGGCCCAGACAAAGCCTAGCTACGCCTCTGATGGCCCAGACAAAGCCTAGCTACGCCTCTGATGGCCCAGACAAAGCCTAGCTACGCCTCTGATGGCCCAGACAAAGCCTAGCTACGCCTCTGACGGCCCAGACAAAGCCTAGCTACGCCTCTGACGGCCCAGACAAAGCCTAGCTACGCCTCTGATGGCCCAGACAAAGCCTAGCTACGCCTCTGACGGCCCAGATAAAGCCAAGCTACGCCTCTGATGGCCCAGACAAAGCCTAGCTACGCCTCTGACGGCCCAGACAAAGCCTAGCTACGCCTCTGACGGCCCAGACAAAGCCTAGCAACGCCTCTGAATGTATGTTAAGACTAATGGCTTAGTTTTTTATTTGTCGACAACAAGGACATTGTTTTCCTGTTGGGCAAATAAAAGTGTCTGCAATAAATTCAAGATGCGAGGCGTACAGCGAGGGAACACTACATGGCATGTCTAAAAATAGCCATCTAAGAAGTAGGGTAGTACCTAGTTCACACATGTAAACTAATTATCGCGTACTTTTCCCTTTGTTATAGTAGCCCTTTAGTCTCCTCTTTGTAGTACTTGTTGTTTTGCTTCTTCTTTGATATTATAAAGATTCCTCTTTAGATCTAGCGATCCTTTGGGCAGACGCAGAAGAGGGCATGTTTTTTTTTCCTCAGCATATGAACGGATAGATTGGTCAGCAATATGCCCAGATGCATTTTTCCCCCCAACGTAAGTCAGGTACACATCATCTGGGACGACTCAGGGACGTCCTTTCGTCAAGGTCGAACCATGATCTGAACTCGAGACCTTCGAACTAGCAGGCAAACGCTCTACCGATCGACCACGCCGTCCCTCTTTGATATTATACCCTTTCAGTTTTTCTTTGTTAATCTAGCCTTCCAACTTCTAGTTCCTTATACTAGCACATTCCCGATCTTATTTAGAGCTGTGGTATTGGTCTGATTTCTTTAAAACTTGGAGCGCGGGTAAGTATCTCCTGATATCAAATAAACCACAAGTTTACCACATATTTACCACAAGTTTACCCATGTCTACCACACGTTTACCACAATTTTACCACAAATTTACCACACGTTTACTACAATTTTACCACAAATTTACAACACATTTATCACAAATTTACCACACATTCACCACAAATTTACCTCACGTTCAGCACACATTTACCACAAGCTCACCTCATCAGCGCAACTAGGATCCGATAGGCGCCTCTCTGACGTACAACACAGTGCAGCGCTGTTTCCCCGTTGTAGTCCTGGGCGTCGATCTCAACGTCCGCCATCGCTAGGTTGTAGACCACGGACAGTAACTCTGGCTCCGTGAACTTGTCGCAGTGGCTGACGATGTGGTGCAGGATGTTACCTCCCGTGTCAGGGTCGCGCAGGTTCGGATCCTTCCCAGACTTGAGATATTTGCGTGAAACCTAGGGTTACACAATCGGTGGAGTGTGTAAAGCAATGAGATAACTGATAGTAAAGACAAATCTTTTATAATTGTCTGATACAATGTGCTTGTGTACGTAAAAATGACAACTAAATATACAAATCAAGTCCACATTAGATATATGCTATATTTACATAAATATTACTATCTGTGTGTGTAAAATATTTTTGTATTTGCTGAGAGCATTAGAATTTGGGCTTTAAATTTTTTTTTAATAAGAAATTTAAAATTATACCATAAATTAAATTATAGATAAGCGTTAAAAAATAAAGATAAACTACTGCAGTTCTAAAATGCATCTACATCAAGCTGTCTCAAGCTAGCTGAAATTCATTATCTTCCCTCACAATTCGCCAAAATATGAAAATTTTAATGGAAAATTAGAGTGTGTGTTTGTTCCACATTTTAAAAAAAACCGCGCTTTTAGATCTTAACAAATAAAATATTTAAATTATTTTACTTTTATCTTATTTATAAAAAAAATATTACCGTTACAGATGCTAAAAAAGAGTGACTAACATAAGAAGAGACAACTTTATCTAGCACTACAAATGTTAAAAATGGTGACTAACTAGCATAATGACCCACAGATTATTTACTAACACTACAGATGTCCACAAAGGGTGACTAACTAGCGTAATGACCCACAGATAATTAATTAGCACTACAGATGTTCACAAAGAGTGGTAACATAATGAACAATAAACAACTTACCTTTAGAATTTGGCTGCGGTTTCCTGAAGCAATCACCTTGAATAATTTTGTTTTTTTAAGGTCCATTCTATATTGTCGAACTAAATTAAATTTTTACTATTGTTTATATATTAATATAATTTATCATTTACGATAACAAGTTTTAATTGTATGGTAATTTTAACAGGCTTGACTTCAAAAATTCAATTTAAAAATACATGTTTTTTTATATTAAAAATACATGTTTTGAGAATTTTAAAATCTTGATTTGTTTTTAAACTGCTAGTTTAAAACTTCACAAAACTTAATGACAATGTGTTTATAGGCGTGGTGGAGCTACTGAAATCGATGAGACGAATGCGCAAAAGACGCGCTTCCTTCCC